GTAAGCCCAAGGAAATTTATTTGACTTATAGGTCCATCAAAAGAGCCAAAGTCACATCACAGAGCCAGGCAGTGGCTGACTCTATCGCGATCCGCAAGCGGCCGAGTCAGGAAGCCGCTTCCACAATGGCTGGCCCCAGAACCAGGCCACCTCTGCCACAGCAGAGCCCGAGATGGGCGCAGGAGGTGAACTGCTGTGCCCCCACTGTCCCCTCAGAGTGCGCGAGGGTGTGTGTGTGAGTGTCCCTGCAGTGGAAGAGTGTCCGGTCCAGGGTGGGGTCTGCCTTGTGCCCCGAGCTGCCAGGGTAGGCTCTGGCTGCCTGTGGTCCTGAACTGGAAGAAGAATGTTGGAAAATCTGTACTTAACTTATTTTTTATAAGTTTTTTAAATGACTTTATTTATTTATTTTTAGAGAAGGAAGGGAGGGAGAAAGAGAGAGAGAGAAACATCAATGTGCGATTGCTGGGGGTCATGGCCTGCAACCCAGGCATGTGCCCTGACTGGGAATCGAACCTGGATGCTTTGGTTCGCAGCCCACGCTCAATCCACTGAGCTACGCCAGCCAGGGCCTGTACTTAACTTATTTTTATTAACCTTTCTGAAATAGCTCACATTTATTTCAGTGTTTCAAATTAGGAGTGTTTTGGATGTCTGTTTAGAAGTTTGGTGATGTTTTCGTAGCTCTTGTTTATGTCAATCAACTTATGGTAAATGGGTTTTGCCATATATCGTTTTGCTTAAAGTCACACTTTCTAAGAACCTATCGACGACGTTGAGTGAGGACTTACTGTACTTCCACAACTCATTCCACGTTCCTTTGGGTCTCAGGCATCTGCTGGTACAGGCGGTCACCTGGCAGGGGGACTTGAACCCGGATTCCTGAGGTGTCTGTGCCTTTGGCAGCCCTTCCTGTATTGAGTGGCTTGGTTTCCCATGAAGTTTTGGCACAAGACATATCAGTACAAGGAGGTGTTCCAGAGGGGTCTCCGAGTTCTAAACATAGTCTTCCTTGGCCCAATGGGTAATGATCACAATCACTCACCTCAGCCAAGAGAGTAAATCCCCCATTGGCTTACAGCCCAGTGGCATGAAGAGGCCCAAGTGGCCAGGTGGGAACCTCAAGGTCCCATGCACTGAAACCGCTGGTGGAGACATTTCCCTGCAGGGCCCTGAGACGTCTAAACCAGCAGGGCCCCGAGTAGTGGGGGTAAGAAGCAAAACTTCTACAAGTGAGTTATTCAGTGTCATACTAAGGGGTTGTCCTTCCCATTTCTTTGGCTCCTGGGGCCGTGTATTCTGGCTATGGGAGGAGCCACAGCATACGCTCACCGCTTTTTAGAAGCACGAGCCAGGTGCTTACAAGGCGTTGTCTCCCAGCTGGGAAGTAACCGAATCTTAACCACTCCTTTCCGCTGTTCTGTCGGGTCAGCTGCATTGGAGACAAAGATACGCGGGAGATACGCATTTGTCTACCTTATCAGTTCCTTGTCTGCTCCTTTTGCTGTAGAATGAATGATTTGGACAGAAGCAAATGCTGCCTGAGATACCTTGATGGGATTAAGATATTCAGTAAACTCACAGATAGAATTGCTGGGGAAATCCATATTCGGAACAAATGTTTATTTTCACCTTCACTACAGAGGAAAGCGTTCCTGTTGGACCCCTGAGCACATGCCATTTCGGGGTCCAGTGCTGAGTTCTGCAGCACCGAGCACGGGCGGGCGCACTGGTCCCAGTGTGTTCTGCCTTTGTTTTATGCAACCCAGATAGAGGGTTTTTGAGCTGGTCCCATGACTACCCAGAATAAAGACTACCTTTCCCAGCCCCTCTTGCAATTTGACTATGAAGTCAAGTTCTGTATTGTTTGGTCCAGCACTTGACCAATACTTGTGTCATCATTTTGAAAAGATCCTGCCAGCGACTGCAGCACCGCCTCTGAACTTTCATCCTCCAAACGACACATCTGCATGGTCTGCCTCTGGGGCTGCTGCAGTTGAGGGGATCCCACATACAGCTCCAGGCGTGACTGCTGTGCTGTGTCTTCCAGTGGAATTGTGCCTGAGCATTCACACACTGAAGTCATACTTTCCTTTTATTTCTTTATGCTACAGTTAGAACATTATGTTGATTAAAATAATATGTGTAAGTAGGGTATATTAACTATGAATTTCACTTGGGAATAAAAGGTATGTCACCAAAAATTATAATAAAAAAGGGGGCCTTGGGTCTAACAAGGTTGAGAATCTAATACCAAGGAATTTCTGTTATCTCGACTTAACTAAGAATAGAACACTGTTAAGACTAACAGAACTATTCTCGGCAGTTTAGATTAGCTCACTGAATTCAGAATCTCTCATGGATACAGGCCAGTTGATAAATTCAGCGCAATTTTAAAGGCATGTTCCTGCCTCCTGATCTAACATCCTTAGAATTAACTGCCACATGTATTCGCCCTCCACAGTGTGGACAGTGTACATCAGCACTGGGAAGCAGCCAGCCGCCCCGCGGTCCGACAGCCTTCACTCCTTGCAAACCCGCCCCGACCTCCCACTTAAGATGTATTGCGGCAGACATGACGTCAGCTGAGACCTTGCCTTCGCTAGACCTTCCTTCAAGGTCATCACGGGTGGGAATTTAAGTGTTTCATCACTGTTGCATGGTCTACCCATGTCCCATCCTTTTCTCATTATGATTTTCTGATACGAAATACATAAATATCTGATACATATCATCTCATGGCGGATATGTCTTGTACTTTGTGGAACAGTTCAAAAAGGGGAAATTTTCTTCTGATTAATGCTCTGGATGATTTTTCAGAATGTCATTTTACCTACTCCCACCCCCCCCCTTCCTACTGCATTATCAGTGGACACATATTTATGGAGAGTCTGCCACAGGGGAGGCATTAGGTAGGTGTCAGGGCTAGAAGACTGGCATTGTCCCTGCTCCCATGACATGTTAAAGATACTGCTCCCTTTCTCTTGTTCTGCAAAACACTTTCACAGTCCACACTTAACTTTTAACTCTGAGTAATTATTCATGTATTCCTTTTTTCTCTATGAGGTGAAATTTTTATGGACACTATATTTGCCTTTGTTAATAATGATGACAGATGAATGGCTCTTTTTGTCTGATTCTGGATTATGACTCAGTGTCTTCTCATTTGATTCAAAGAGCAAGCATCTACTACATGCAAAACACTGTGCTAAGAAGTGTGGCCAACACGGAAGCACACACCAAGGCACATCATAATTGCATTACCCAAGATTAAAGATAAGGAGAGAATCTTAAAAGCAGCAAGAGAAAAGGAGGCAGTTACCTACAAAGGAGTTCCCATAAAACCATCAGCTGATTTCTCAAAAGAAACCTTACAGGCAAGAAGGGGTTGGACAGAAGTATTCAAAGTTATGAAAGGCAAGGACCTATATCCAAGATTGCTCTATCCAGCAAAGCTTTCATTTAGAATGGAAGGGCAGAGAAAGCACTTCCAAGATAAGGTCAAGTTAAAGGAGTTCATCATCACCAAACCCTTATTATGTGAAATGTTAAAGGGACTTACCTAAGAAAAAGAAGATGATCAAAAATACAAATAGTAGAATGAGAACAAACTCACAACTATCAACAACTCAATCTAGAAAACAAAAACAAAAACAAAAACAGAAACAAAAACAAACCAAGCAAACAACTAGAACAGGAACAGAATCACAGAAATGGAGATCACATGGAGGGTTCTCAGCAGGGAGGGGGTGGGGGAAGAATGGGGGAAAAGGCAGGGAATAAGAAGCATAAATGGTAGGTACAAAATAGACAGAGGGAGGCTAAAAATAGTATAGAAAATGGAGAAACCAAAGAACTTACATATTTGACTCACGGACATGAACTAAGGTGGCGGGATGGTGGTGGGAGGGAGGGTACAGGGAGGAGGGGAATAAAGGGGAGAAAAACTTGGGAAAACTTTAATAGTGTAATCAATAAAATATATTTGACAAATTAAAAAAAAGGAAAAACAGAAAAAAATTGTGCCCCCCCCCGCAAAAAAGAGAAGAAGCATGGCCAGTAATAACAAGACTGATAGCTAGCACTCACTGAATGCTTAATAAGTGGCGATCACTTTTAAGTACTTCGCATGTATAACTTGTTTAGTTCTCAACCACTCTGTGCGATGTTGCTATGATTACTCCTGCTTTACAGAGGAAGAAACTGAGGCACTAAGTGGCTTAGAAGCTTGTTCCAGGTCACAGGTCAGTAATTAAATAGAGGTGGTCCCCACCCAGGGCTGACTATTTTAACCACTTCCTTGCGATCAATAAAATAGTAAGTTGAAAAATAGGACTTGCTTCAAACAACTTGATGACATCAAGGGGAAGCTTTGAAAATTACTACAACTTATTAGTAGTAGAAAAAAGAATCACCCGATAAGGTTCTTGAAATTTTTTTGGAACAGCTCTCCCAGGTAACTTCTGTTTTTCAGTCTAGTGATTCGCCTGGCCATTTATGAAATTGTACTTCTTTATGTTGACTTTTTGATATCTTACTATTTATCTTCTCTAGTAAAATAAAGAATTCCTTGAAAGTGGAAGCCATATATTATTTATCTTTTTATCTTCAACACCTAACGTGTAATAAAGAATCACTGAATATAAGGACTAAATAGGTGATCCTATTCAAAATAAATAATAGTAAGTATTCATACGCAGTATTTATAAATACATTTCATCCATGGGAACAGCAGTGTTTTAAAGCCTTTGATTGAATACATCCCAATAATATCCTCATAGGAAAGTTAAATGTTGTTATCCTGCTTCCCAATCAAAGGCCTAATTGTCAAAATGTCATGTGCCTTACCACAAATTATTAAGCCAGTCAGTAGAGGAAAAAACAGAATCTAAGAATGATCACAAAAAATCATTCCCCCAAAGTTAAATGAATGCACATAAGAATACAAAAAAAATCATAACAAAGATAATTTATCAAAACCAAGCAATATTTAAACACAAACGTTACCTTATGTTAACTTTATTTGAGTAAGTTATTTTGAAAAGCAATTATAAAGATCATGTGCAGAAACTTCTTTCCACTCTATTTTTGTTTTCTACGCATTATTTTAGAAGTAAGGGCTATATCCTCCCATGAGATCCCCGGGGCGGATATGAGATAAGCCACGGATGAGTTAACTTGTTTTGGCAGCACTAAGGAAACGTGGTGCTCCAGATGCTTCCATGCTCCAAGCACATTGGGTCCAAGAGGCAGCAGAAACTGGACGGAGACGCAAAGAAGAGGCCAGTGTTAGCCCGCAACAAAATCAACTCCCCCCCCCCCGTGTTTCCATAGACAAGCCCTTGTTTTAAAAGGAAAATACGATACAACGTGCACACAGATTAGTCCTCAGTGGACAAACTCCTACGAAGGATGACTTTAGAGTCTTGAATCTCTAACTGTAGAAACGGTTTTACTCTTACATCTGTTCAGATGACTGTGTTTTGCCCGCCTCTGTTCGTGGCTTTGCCCTCTACCGAACTGACCGAGCTAGAGACCGCAGGTTAGTCCTCCACAGCCCCTCCTCCCTCCCCGTCACCTGCCAATGGTTGTCCAAGTCCCGTCCACTGTATCTTCTGAGTAGACATCTCTCCATTGCCTCTCCCATGGCTGAGCCTCCTCACTCCTGCCTGCCTCCCTACCTCCAGTCTCTCCTCCCGGTCACTGTTCCTTACCACACTGATAAAGTTATTTATTTGTCTAAGCCCTGGCTGGCATAGCTCAGTGGATTGAGTGCGGGCTGGGAACCAAAGTGTCCCAGGTTCGATTCCCAGCCAGGGTACATGCCTCAGTTGTAGGCCATAAGCCCCAGCAACCACACATTGATGTTTCTCTCTCTCTCTCTCTCTAAAAATAAATAAATAAAATCTTTTTAAAAAGTTATTTATTTGTCTAAAAACAATGGCTCACCCTTGACTACAGGTCAGACTGCAACCTCCTGAGAATGATATTTATGCCCTCCCCCATTTTTATAATCACCAATTTTCTCCTACTTCCCCTGAAACCCTCGATTTTAATGACGAGCTGCTTCTTGCCGTTCCCCAGACACCTGCAAATCTTGAGCTCCTTCGTGCTTGGGAATGGCGTTCGCCCCGGCTGCAGAGTCCCTCCTCTGTGTTCACTCATCTCAAGGCCCCTCCGAGACTCCCCGCAGGTCCCAGCATCGAGGCGGCCCCCCTGTGAACGGCTTCCTGACTCTCCCATACAACCCATCACTCTCATTTCGTGTGCATGGCAGAAACTCTTGCTCCTCACTGAACAGTCTTTTCATGTCCACATTTTCCAACTTTCTTCTAATGAGGCAAGGCCATGTGACTTCTTCTGGTCTAAGAGCTGGGAGTGGAAGTGAGATGTGCCACGTCCGGTCCAAACACTTAGAGTTGGTGCGCGACCTCCCAACTCTTCCTTCTGCTGTCGGCAGCTGCGGAGGTCTAGCGAGAAGATGGCAGAACCACAGGACAGCACGGCCTGGACACACCACACGGAGGGGGCTGCTCTGGAAAGTCCTTTGAGCCGCAGGAGAGTTCATGTAAGCGCCACATCACCTTCGGTTGGCCAAGTCACCGAGCTTTGGTGTTTATTCATTACCACGGTGTAACTTCACCTCTCCTTATGTATTCAAATCCTGTATATCTCTGTTTAGCCTTTTATTATGCTAAATCATAATAATGTGTTCATTATTTTTCTCCCACAGTGTGAGCCCTCGGGTTAGACACGGTGCTTTATTTTTCATCTAACAGAGTGTTACAACTTCAACCGAACTTGTTGGAAATTGAACAGCATCTTTACACGTTATCCCCAAACCTTTTCTGCTTCTGATGGTTCCCATCTCAGGAAATGACAGCACCATTAACTAACTCAGCCACTCAATTCAGAATCTGGGAGTGTTTTTCTTACCGTCCTCTTCACCCTAGGAGGAGGCACTTACTCCGCCTCCTAAGGATGTCTCAGTCTGCCACGTTCCTCCACCCTCATCCATTGTTGTCTGTCTGTAATTGGGATGGGAGGCACCGGCTTTCCAAACGGCCCTCCCCCACTGCTCCCTTGCGATCCCTTTTTTCGTCTGCAAAAAGAGAAGCATGTGTTAAAATTTGCAAATATGATCACATTGCTTCCATGCTTAAGCAACTTCCAGTTATTTTTAAATTTTTCTGTCAATAACTTCTGATATTTTGTATATCATATGCCATCTTACTTTATTGTGATTATTCTTTTTTTAATTTTTGCCTTCCTCTTCTGGGTGTTCTGAGACACCATTTGCAACATCATGGGGGTTCCCCACACCGATAAACAATTCTCAGGCACCAGAATCCAACTCAGTTCTGACACCGTCTACCCAGATATAGCAGCAGATTCCACGGGTTAAGGGCTCAGTCCTACAAGACTGCCCCCTATCTCAGATGCCAGTGGCAAGGCCAGGCTGTTACCTGTGCTTCTGACCGACCAGTTACAGACCGGAGGTCTCCACCCCCCTCCTTGGACTTCACACGTCAGTCCCGGGTGGTTTTATGTACTTCTGACCAACCGGCTCTACATCAGAGGTTCCCACCACTCCCTCTTCAGTTTTGGTTAATTTGCTAGAGCCGCCCACGCGCCCACACCTTCCCCAAGCACACCCCTGCCCCCCGCACCTCCACGTGTTCAGCATCCCCAAAGCTCTCCAACCCCGGTCCTTTCGGGTTCTTATGGAGGCTTCGTTATATGGGCAGGACTGATTAAAGGGTTGATCACCACTGCTTGCACATTATCATCTCCAGGCCCTCTTTCCTCTCCAGAGGCGGGGGATGAAGGAAGTGGAAGGTCCAACCCTCTGATCACATGGTTGGTTCCACTAGCAACCAGTCTCTATCCTGAGGTGCTTTCCAAAAGCCACTTCATTCACATAATTTATCATTCTCAACACTTGGGAAATTCCAAGGGTATCGGGATCTGTGAGCCAGGGACTGTGGAGGAAGACCAAATGTGTATGAGAAATATATTTTGGTCCTATGAATTTGACATACTTATATTTCTTACAAGTCACAATATTGCACCTCTCCTTGGATTTCAAGTTTATTCACCTTGAAAGTGTGTTTTGCCTTGTCTTTCACTGCTGTATTTCTAGCTTCTGACACACAGCAGACAGTAAAAGATATTTGTTGAATAAGTGAATGAATGAATGAATGAATGAATACTTGGTAAATAGTGGAAGCACAATAGACATTTCTTGGATAGGTTAAAAGTCAACTGTTCATGTATACTCAAGCAAATATGAATTTCAATGCATTCTAAAATGTTTTCTCAGTCCATATTTTAACTTCCAGTGCCTTCTCTTCTTAATGCCAGCCCACAGCCCTGCAACCTTTAAAGTTCAATCCATGGCTCATTTATTCACTCTTTTATATGGGAAGGAGGTTCTTTGAATATTAATTCTTATGTACCTACGTATTTGAGCTACCTAACATTTAAAAGTTTGTGTTCTTTTGTAAATGCGTTCAAATAATGTTTGCATTTATATACTCTATCCTCTTGACTGAATTAGAAGCAAACTTAGAATCAAAACGTGAGCACTGTTTGAAACCCTTGCCTCCCGCACCCTCCCGGCACCTTAGCATCGTGTTCTGCATAAGAGGATCACTTAGTAAGTAACAGTGACTGGAGGATGGGCAAGGGCTAGCCTACATGGGCGAAAAGTGGGCACGAGAAGTGCTCTGCAGGCAGATCATCGGAACGGGCTCCTGGCTGTGCATCAGGGTGAGGCCGATTCTAGGTCTTGGGTCAGAGAGACGAGGTACCTGGTATTTATTGTCTTAATGTCATTGGGCTCCATTCCAAGATGCATTTTTCCCAGCTCAGTCAGTTATGTTTAATGGCCCCATGTGAAGTGTAAGACATCTTCAAATCAGTTAAGTAGAGAAGAAAATTAAGGTTCCCTAAGGTCCTTTTAAATTTATTGAAAACTTTCTGCCCTGACCAGTGTGGCTCAGTTGGTTGGAGCATTGTCCTGTAAACCAAAATTTCACAGGCTTCATTCCTGCTCAAGAGCCGGTGCCTGGGTTGCGGGTTCAGTCCCCAGGTGGGGTACATATGAAAGGCAACTGATCAATGTTTCTCGCACTGATGTTTCTCTCCCTCTCTCTCTTCCTCCCTCCCCCTCATAAGCATGTCCTTGGTGAAGACCAAAAAATAAAAATTAAAAAATAAATAAATAAATAGCAAACTTGCAGTTTCTAAGGTAAACTGCATTTATTCAGTAGAAATCAGTTAATGTTTAGATATAATTTATCTTTACTTTTTTTTTTCTTACAACCTCCCTTCCATCTCTCATTGGTATCAATCAATATTTACAATCAATATAAAACCGAACAAAAACAAAGACCTTGGTTTTTAATTTCAGGTGATCAGACCTCTAAAAGACACGCCGGCATGAATGAAAGCAGGCCCACACGTGCATTTATTCTGAGCGTGTCACCGGCCACTGTGTGACTCGCAGTGTGCACACAGGGACTCGTCCCTGGCTGCTCTGTGGCTCCGGGGCGCTGCGATTAGTATCTCAGGTGAGGGGACACGGCCGGTCGGGGGCGCAGCCTGACGACAGTGATTCTTTCATGCACTTCACCGACATTCATGTGACATTTTTATAGTGAGCTGTCTTAAGGAGGAAGTTCCAGGAGAAGAAACACTCCAGCAATTCAGAATAATTCAAAGCTATCCCATTGCTTGAAACAATACAAGGTATGAAATGAGGCAAGATCCTATAATACACAAAATGAGGGGAAAGCACTCTAATTCTCAGTTCTTACACCTCACTTCCATAAAAATGTTAGGACATTACACATAGTAAGTGAAGGAAAATTCACTCCTAAAATCATTGAAATTAAATTTTAAATACTAGAATCATGACAGCTGTCACAGACCTTAGAGCTCCAAGCAGACCGGATTTGGGTTTCTTTGACTACGTGAGTTTTACTGAGGAACTAAGGAGTGAGTACTTTTGTTGGAATACTTTAGAGGTCACTGGATTTAGATTGTGACACACTTGGCCATGTTAAGATATACTGTGCTCCTATTTTGGGGTTCCACAGCTGACTAAGAGAAAAGGCACCTTTAGTGCACACACGGAGTCACAATTTCTGAGCGGCAGCAGGCTCACTTTGGGTCTGCGGTGTGACGGCTGACACAGAGTGAGGGCTGTTTCTGAAGGTCTGCCCGGGCTGGCTGCACAGACGCTGTAGACTGGGAGGCTTAAACAACAGACACTTACGTTCTCACCACTTTGGAGGTTTGAAAGTCTAAGATCAGGGTGTTGGCCAGTTTGGTTTCTAGTGAGAGCTCTCTTCTTGTCCTTGCAGACAACCACCTTCTTGCTGTGTCCTCATGCGGCAGGGAGACAAGAAGAGGGAGGTGGGGTTGGGGAGGGGAAGAGAGAGAGGGAGGGAGGGAGAGAGAGGGAGGGAGGGAGAGAGAGGGAGGGAGGGAGAGAGAGCGCAAGCACACATGCTTGCTCTCTGGTGTCTCATCAGAGCACTGACCCCATCAGACCCGGGCCCACCGTCACACGACCTCACATAACCCTGATAATCTCCCCACGGTCTCATCTCCGGCCCCGTCATACTGGGACTTAAGGCTTCAACACATGGATTTTTTTGGGGGGGGCACAAACATTCAGTCCATGACAATAATTTAAAGTTTGCCTTTTTTCTTAAAGCACTTCTGGCTCTTGAGAGCCCATTTCTAGGTCTAGGGTGTGTTCCTTTTATATATATATATTCTGCTAGTTTTTCTTTCCCAAATATTAGCCATTTGCTTTGACCTTCGTGTTGTGATATAGAATTCTTAGGAAGTGGTTGTTTTTCTGCTTAGGGAGCTGGATGGAATATTTTCTCTGACTTGCCTTGTGCAGTGATTATATTGTATTCCTGCTTTAGAGCCTGAAGTTTTTTCTTTGTCCAAAGTCAGTGATGTCACAGAGGTCCCTGGCATGCAGACTGTCCTTTCCACAACTCATTCCAGAACGAGCGATCAATGCTTCCGGTGGCACAACTGTGCGGATGCTGTGAGAAACAAAACAAGGGTGCCTTATGCCTGGAAAGTTCTGGCGTGCCTGTACACTGGACAACCGAGAGACCATCCAGCTTTGTAAGAGAAAAGGGTGTTCTTGTATTCAGTGAATGCTCTGATGTCAGATTACTTCCTGGAGTGGCTTTTTCATAAAATCCGCTTGAGTCACTATTAATTCTCGCTTTGGAAAAGCATATCCTGTGTGGGTGACCGATGGGTAGAGTGAACACACACCAAAGATCAGAGGTGAAAGTTTAGTAGAAACCAATTATGACTTCAATCAAATATCATTGGGTAAAGATTTGAAAGCCCTAGCCCTAACACTGTGGCATGCTAACACTTAAAAGGGAATTAGGGACTTTAATTACTGTATAGTTTACTGGACAGTTTAGGAATTATCACGTGTGGTGAGAGGACTGTTCAGCTCTGCCGTCGTTAACCTTGGCGGGCTATTAGGGGACCGTGTCTCTGGACTTGAAGGGAAATTGGACCCCTTTCCCCTTCACGTGGCACTAATGCCACATAAGCCTTGTCACTACAGCGTGTTTGCGGAGTCCTCGAGGGGTTTAACGTTAAAGTTTAACTTTTAAACTTTAATAATTCAGGTCACAGCCATGGAAAAAATAATGCGTGTGCATAACTGAAGGCAAATTGAAGTTTTCTTTCCTTCGGCCGATCTTATCTGTAACAGCCATTTCTACTCGTCACAGAACTCAAACTAAAAATATAATCCGTATTTCTGTGCCGTGATACTTGTCCCAGACTTTATTGATTGCTAGTTATTTCTGTGATGGCTATGACTTATGTTTTTAAATGGTAAACATTAGGAAGAGCTTTATGAAGACCTTATTTGTGAGCAAAACATTTATTCAGAAATAAATGTGTCATCATTTATGACATGATTACCACGTCTTCGGTGAGTCGGTGTGGTTCGAGAGGCAGTGTTGCCCGGCGGTGAGGACGGAGACTCTGCAGCTACGCTGCCCACGTCCGAGTCTCAGCTCCACCGCTTTCCAGCTGTGGGATCTGGGGCAGGTTACGGAGCCTCCTGGTGCCTCTGTTTGCTCATCTATAAAATGGGATGATAGTTACAAAGTACCTGCCTCACAGAGGTATTGCACAGATTACATGAGCTGATCACTCAAAATGTAATTGCTACCTAGAAAATTCCAAACAAACATTTGCTCTTAGGTGTAGCAGACAGGAGTGTGGGCTCTAGGATCACACCTCCTGAGTTTAAATCCAGCTGCTGAATGACCTTGGACAAGTTACTTAATATCACCGTGCCTTCATCTCTTCATCCGAAAATGGGGATAATGACAGAAATGAGCACCAACTGAAGCAAGAGAGGCAAAATGCTTAGAAGAATGCCTGGCACATGGTAGGTACAGAGTAAATGCTAGCAATGGATATTCTAACCGCATTAGAGACACTAAACTATATTCATGTCTCTTAAATAGCAAATGAAATATGAATGGAAAATGTTATATCCTGTTTCACAAGCTTTAAGAATCACTTATGGTCACATATTTTTAGTAGTACTATAGCTCCAAACACCTATCCTGCATATTATGAGAATATCTTTCCTTCTCTGGGTCCACCCCCACGTCATGGTAAGTCAGGACCCCAGGGGCTGTCACTCAGTCTCACGGGGTCTGTTCTGATGCCTGTGCTCTGCTTTGTAAAGGCCACTGCCATTTCTGCAGTTCACCCTCAAGGGCCCAGGTCAGGGAGGTGTCAGCCCTCCCTTTCCAATTTGCTCAAACGACAGAGTCCTCTTTGTCACCTCCCGAAAGCACAGCTCGGGGCAGACTCCAGGGGCCACGCGAGACAGTCGCAGTGATGCACAGCACAGTCCCTAAGGTCCTAGTTATTTGACTTTAAATAACAACATAATAGCGAACAGTATAATAACGACAATAACTAAAACTCCCCCAATGTTTGGAAGTTAGGCAACCCACTTGTAAATAACCCATAGGCCAAAGTAGAAATGGCAACAGAAATTACAAAATATTTTCAATTGAATAATAAAAATGATATGGCATATCAAAACTCCAGGGATGTAACTAAAGTGGCATTTAGATGGTAACTTAAATACATATTTTAAGGGGAAATGGCTGAAATTCATCATCTAATATTTCATCTCATGAAGTCAGAACAGAATATCAAACTCAAAGTTGAAAGAAGAAAATAATAAAAAACCAAAATGAATAACATAGCAAACAAAAAATAGAGAAAATGACAAGGCCCAAAGCTGGTAATGTGTAACAATTAGTTAAACTAATAAAAGCTAGTAAGAAAAGAAAGAGAGAAAATACCAGTTTCAGGAATGAATAAAGTTCCTGCCATCATTAAAAAGAAAATAAAGGTTAATTATAAATGTCTCTATGCAAATAAATTTGAAATTTAGATGAAGTTGACAAATTTCTTGTAAAACACGTTATTAAAACTGATTGTAGAATAGAAAATTTAAATGGTTCTGTATTTATCTTAAAATTGAATCTACTATTAAAAAGTCTTCTCTTCTTCCACCCCGCGAGGGAAAACAGGTCCAGATGGCTTCCCCAGTGAATTATCTCGATATTTAGAGATGATATAACACTTAAAATAATTATTTCAGAGCATAGTAAAAGAGGGATAGTTCCCAACTTCATTTGTAAAGCCAGCTTAATATTTTTTAAAGGTTTTATTTTTATAGAGAGGGTGAAGGGAGGAAGAGAGAGAGGGAGAGAAACATTGATCCATTGCCTCTCCCATGCGCCCTACTGGGGACCTGGCCTGCAACCCGGGTGTGTGCCCTGACCGGGATTCAAACCAGAATCTTTCCTTTTGCAGGCTGGCACTCAGTCCACTGAGCTACACCAGCCAGCCAATAAAAATCATGTTTATTAATTTTTTGAGATTTTCTTTATTTCTTTCAAAAAATGTAAATCCCTAAGGATGTAGATGGAATTTAATCCCATCTGACTGAGCAGAAATTGAACTCTTTGAAACAGGGAAGAAAGGTTTTTAGCCAGCCAGCTTACCAAATCCTAACAGGCATTTTTTAAAAAAGGAATGTAAGAAGGCAATTTTGCTCATTTATATAGATGAAAAGAGTCCTAAATATTAATATAGTATTAGAAACTAAATTTAGTAATAGATAAAAAGCAAATAGCAGAATCAAGTTGTATTTATTCCAGGAATGCAAGGTTGGTTTAGAATTTAATAAGTACTCAATGTAATTCAGCACATGAACAAAGTAATAACATATGGTATGTACAGTAGAAAAGTCACATAAACATTTCAATGGATGCTTAAAAATCAGGACCAATTACAACAGTCATTCATAATTTTAAAAAGTCTCTTATCAAATTAGGAGTACAGGAGTGGGCAAAAGTAGGTTTATATTTGTTCATGTGAAAAATATGATACAAGAATAAATAATAATACAAGAATAAGCTCTGTGTTGCACGTACTCACAATTGTAAACTTACTTTTGCCTATCCCCTGTATAAAGGAATTCCCTAATTTGATATAAAGTAAATATACAAAATGTACAACAAACATTATATTTAATGGTGAAGTGTTGAGACGCTTTCCTCTGAGATAAAAAAAAAAGATAAAAACATCTACAGATGAGCTGGCTGGGTAGCGCAGTTGGTTACAGCATCGTCCCAATGTACCAAGGTTGAGGGTCTGATCCCTGGTCAGGGCACATACAAGGAGCAACCAATGAATGCATAAATAAGTGGAACAACAAATCGATGTTCTCTCTTTCTCACTCTCCTTCCCTTCCTCTCCCTCTCTCTAAAAAGAAAAAAAATCAATAAATTTTTTAAAAGATGTCTATTATCATAATTTCTATTCAATGTTATATTAGCTGTCTTAATCAGTGCCAGTTGAGAAGAAAAAGAGCTAACATGTATTAAAAAGGGAAAGAAGAAATAAAGCTGTGCACAGATATCTTGATTTTTGTAGATGGAAAATCAAAGAGAATTTACAAACTGTTGGAAATAAGGGAATTTAGCAAGGTTGTTAGAAGTAAGGGGAGATGTCACATTTAGGGAGAAGGAAGGGGTCCTGATTGCCGAGGGACAGGATGGGGCTTTTGGGTCTGGGCAACGTTCTATTTCCGACCCGGGTAGTGATTACACAAGTGTGTGCGCTTTGTGATGCAAACTATTGAACTATATGACCTTGGAACTTGGGCATTTTTTCCTGTATGCAAACTGTACTTCAGTAAAGGATGTCTATTAGAACAAAAGCATCTTATGGGACAGGAGAGGAAATTCTGCTAAATAAAAAAGTCATGTTAGTATAGTAGAATTATGGAAGAAATTTTTAAAGTCTTGCTTTAATTTGGGTGTTACAGTAAACAGAATTTGGGTGGGAGGATAAAGTAATCCAGCATTAATTGAAATACATAGATATAAACAGGAGATGGAGGCCCTTGAGATCTGTGCTGGGACCATACCAATTTCAGCCAGAAAAACTTTTTAAAGCTGGTATAGTAATAGCCTCCTGAAAAGTCTGGCTCAAGAGCTGTGAACTTCTAACTCTGAACAATATAATTTCCAGGCACATCCTCAAAAAAAAAAAAAAGAAAGAAAAGAAAAAACACAATAACAACACAAAACCTGTTGCAATATATATCTAACCAATTCTTGAGCTAATGAACCTATTAGGCAATTACTTGTTAGGAGAAAACTACCCATAGTAATAACTTTCATTTTGTTTTGAAAGAATTACCCCTTTCCCCCTTGTTTTAGAGTTCATTTTTTTTAAAAAACTGAAGTATAACTGATCCATACCATTAGTTTCAGGTAGACAGCATAATGATTTGATATTTGTATCTGTCACCACACATAGTTAAAAACCTTTCTTCTTGTGATGAGAACTTCCTAGCAACTTCCAAATATGCAATACAGTATTATTAACTATAGTCACTATGCTGTTACCTGCACCCTTCCTAACAATATTTAACCATTCAGGGTCAAAACTCAGGGGCATTCTGAGTTCCCACGAAAAAACCCTGTCACCCATATGTACCCCTCCCCCTGTTCTCTACAACGGGGTGCAGCCCACGTCTGCTGAGTAGAATAATACAATTCTTGAGATGTGCAGTTCTCTGTCCCTTCCACGGGACTATTTTTGGTCAGGGAGGGATTGAGCTTTACTCCTCGCTTTGGGACATATTTTCTTTTTTTATTGTCTTTGTAATAAAGTTCTAGTTTAAATTGTGTGAATTACTGTATGTGTCTTTTCCTCTCCCCTTTCAAACCAGTACACAATGGTCAGGGAGGCTGAAGTTGGCTGTGTGGGGCTGGGCGGGAAGGAAGGACTTGACCTCATACAAGAGGAACCCTGTCTTCACCTGAGCAAGGCCACTAGAGATATCTTATCTTGTTATGCTTGGCCTTGTACCAAGGACCTAGGCGGGATCTATAAACCTCACACAAAGAATCATGTGTAGTTAGTGTCCCTTGGAAGACGGACATTGTAATTCTCTTCCAGTATCACATTAATTTTCACCCAATTAAAAACTCCCATTTGATAACCTAAAAACCTGGGAAGGTGGAGGTAGCTCTTCCTTTACACTCTTCACCACTATGGCCTTTATACAACAGAAAAGGAAACAGCAGTGGACAGGGGCCCGGGGAGGTAGGCTCTCACCTTGACCTTGCTGCTTACAAGGTTATGTGGATATTACTTCATCTCTTTGAGTCTTAGTTTTCTCAACACTACATAGTTAATATCCCCTGCTTCAGAGTTATGACACTTTGAAAAGCCTGAAATGGAATTAAGTAAGGCTGACATCATTGTATCATTAGTAGTCCTGGCTATCTTTAGTTTGCATTCTAAATATAAAAGATAAAGGACATAGTACAGTGGTGCTTAGGCTCGGGAAGAATACAGGGAAATGAGGTCAGAAAGACTAAGAAATAGAAAAATAAACACATTGCTATTTCTTGAAGGATTAAAAAATAGGTAAAGTTGCAACCTTAAAAGCCCAATGCAAACTTTTAAATTATTTTTTCTAATTATATCACACATCTCACTCTTGATAGAGTAACATCTGTGTTTTTTTTTTTTTCTTTCTGCCTTATAACCTGCCCTCCCTGGAGCACTGCTTTCCCCAAATTGCATGGTTTTCTGGTGGGCCACTTCATCACGTGATGAACGGTGTGGTCAGAAGTGGGACGCCCAGGGTTTGCAAACGACCCAAACCAGGGAAATCAGCATCCTTCCTTGAAACTGTTCCTCTGTTTCCTGATGGGGGAAATCTCTTTGGAGTTCTAAGGGGGATTTTCTTTTAAATGTGGGAGCTCTTCTGTCTGCACAATACACAGCTACCTCCCTTCACTCCACCTTTCTGGCTGCACAGGTGCAGTCGTGGTTGGGCACTAAGACCCCCTTTCGAGGTATTGAATCCATCCCTCCCACACCTTCACACTTTTCTTCCCAGCACCACGTCTGTTTACTAGAGGATGGAAGTTTCCCTGCAGTTAAGAACAGGCATGAGAGGGCTCTGGATTTTTAAAAAAATTTTTTTGGAAAAAACAGAGTAACCTGATGCAAAAGTAAATCCCACACACTTTCACGCAAAAGAAAAAAAAATAGCACATCAAGTCTATTGAGTCAGCAGTGGCATCGCCAGGCAATTAAAATATTTTGTTATCACTAAATCTCTAATTAATGTTCAAATTTCCCTAATTGTCTTAAGATTCTTGTTTTAACCTTTGGTTTGTTTAAATTCTGAAACAATGGAGCAAAGTTGCTTTTTTGTCATCATTAAGCACACTGACTGGTTACATTTTCCTTCTCTTCAAAATAGATATTTCCTTGTCACTGTAACTCATCCCCACCAGCCACAGAATTCAGAAATTAATTTAAAACCTTTTTATGTACTTTCCAAATACCAGATGAGGTTCTGGCAGTGAAATGATGGTACAGGGAAGCACGAGCAATGTTTGAAGGTGCCCTTGGACGTAACCCAAAAAGAGCGGGGACAGGCAAACACCCACTGGTTTCGCAGCCTGTGGGGTCTCCTTGCCTTTTTCACCAAAAAGGCCCTACTGGCAAAAGACCCTACTATTTGCCAATATCTAATAAAATACTGAAAATTTATAAAGCAATGCAGTCATATATTTATTTAAAATGTCTGTAGCTTCATTTTCAACTAACACTCGTATCTTTATCTTATAGGCCCTCGTTCATTTTCTAGGACAATCAAGGACCAAATATCATCCCCTCTAGGTATAAATGCATATATTTATTTTGCTTCCACTCTAGCATGAAAGGATGAAAACATTGCTGCTGACAGCCCTATAACTTTCTTCTCCCAAAGAGGAGGTGCCAAGGGGTGAAGAGTTAGAGACTTTGAGCCACGCACAATCTCCACCCATCTCATTAAATAAACGAACAATGTAAGTGATCCACGCACTTGCTGAGCAAGCTCAGCATTTTGACAAACCCTCCGCATCCCTTTCCTCCCCAGTCGGACCATTCTCCTTCAAGTCTTCCTGGAGTTAACCCTGATCCCAACCGCAGAAACCAAACATTACAGATTTCAATATTTTAGATCCGCATTACCCCTCTCTAAACGGGGACTTACTGGGGCCCAAACCATGTATGGTTCCCCGCCGCCCCACCCTGGTCCAGCCCGGTGCGAGTATTATTCCCACTTTACTGTTAAGATCTTGAAAAGTTGTGTGTTTGTTTTTAAATCTGTCCCAGGAGAATCCACTAGGTGCATCCACTGAGCTCGGGGGCTGCGAAGGTTTAAAACTGCCGCCCCGGGCTGTCGGCAGCGCCCTGCCTTCGCTGAAGGTATCAGCACCGGCCAAGTGCCCAGGTTCTGATCCTGGACAAAACTCATGATCTTCTGGCTCAGGTTCTGTGAACTGAGTCATTCTGGCACGGAAAATATTCCGTGACTCAGCAGGCCCAAAAAGGAGGATGTCAGATCCAGATAATTTCGAGTCTTTTAAAGGCAAGCTGGAGAACATAAACAACACAGTGGAAGAATTTCGCAGTGGGTGCGTACCCAGGGGAGAAATGTCATTCCATTCCCAGCCTTTCCACTTCCTTCCCTGCTCCTGCTGGACGGCTGGTTACACTTTAATTTAGGTGCAGGAAATCGCTCCACAAAACTCATTTTGATGCTGCAACCAGGGCCTGTATTCCCCGGGGACCGGGCCAACCCCCTGGACACCCCGGGCCCTCTCCCGGGAAAGGGCTGGAGCTGACCTCGCGCACCAGGGGGCGTCCTCGCGGCGGCCGCCCCTAGTATCGGGTCCCTCCCGTGCGGGCCTCCCGGCGCGGCCCCGCCGGACGCGAGGACGGACACCTGGCGGGCGGAGATCCGCGCTTCTGCGAGTTGCAGCGGGCCGGAAGGCGGACCCTGAGCGACCTCGCTGACGCGGCGCCGCCCTTTTAAGGCCACCTCCACCGCCCCTCCCCCAATCTGGAGTCCTCCAGGGACGCGGGGCCCGGGGACCCCGGTGTCCGGCCAGCCTGCGGAGCAAGCTCTCCGTAGCCACCCGGTCCTCCCGGCATGCACCGCCCCGCGCCCCTCCCTCCTCCTTCCCTCCCCACCCCTCCCCCTCCCGGCCCCCCGCTCCCCCCACCCCTCGCGCCCCCCCGGCCCCGCCCCTCCGATCGCGCGCCGCGGGCTCGCGCGCGAGATGCTACCGCCCCCGCCGCCGCGAGTCGCCGGGGCGGGCGCGCAGCCCAAGGCGCGCGGAGGGCGGGGGAGCAGCGACCGGGCCCGCGGGCGCTGCGGAGAGGACGCCGGGGTTGGGCTTGCTCCTCCGCCAGACCCCACCCCACCCCGCCGACCCCACCCCCTGCTCCTTCCTCCCGGGGGCGCGCGCGCGCGGGCTCGCGCTCGGAAGTCAGGGGTCGGCGCGGAGTGCGAACTGTGTCCCGGGTGGGTGAGGGCGGTGCGGAGGTGGAGCGCCGGGCAGCGGTCAGCGAGGCGCACGGTCCTCCCCAGCGGCGCCCACTGGCCCGTCTCTTCCGTGCGATCCGCCGCCACCGCCCGCCCCGCGAGCCCGGCCCCTGGGCCCCGGAGCTCAGCCCGCAGAGCGGCCTCCGGGGGACGCCGCTGGGCGAGAGGAACGCGCCCTTGCCTTTGCCGTGGCCCAGCGCACGGGCGGCGGGATGAGGGGCAGCGAGCGCGCCGCGCGGACGCTGCGGCCCCGGGGGCGGCTCTGGCCGGTGCTGGCTGTGCTGGCCGCGGCGGCCAGCTGCGCCCGGGCAGCCATGGATGAGTGCATGGACGAGGGCGAGCGACCGCAGCGCTGCATGCCCGAGTTCGTCAACGCCGCCTTCAACGTGACCGTGGTGGCCACCAACACGTGCGGAACTCCGCCTGAGGAGTACTGTGTGCAGACCGGGGTGACCGGAGTCACCAAGTCCTGTCACCTGTGCGACGCCGGGCAGCCCCACCTGCAGCACGGGGCAGCCTTCCTGACCGACTACAACAACCAGGCCGACACCACCTGGTGGCAAAGCCAGACCATGCTGGCCGGGGTGCAGTACCCCAACTCCATCAACCTCACGCTGCACCTGGGTAAGCGGTGACAGCCCCGTCCCCTGTACTGCTTGCCGACAGCCCAGCGCCCGGGCCACCTTCAGACCTGGCCTAGCCTGTGGCGTCCGCACAGCCGCGTGTTGGCTCTGCTCCCCTGGGTGGGCCACACTGAGACTCCCTTCTCCAACTTTAGTCTAGATCTAGCAGTTAATACCCCGCCACCGCCAAGATGCTTCCCGCCAGCATCTCTGTGTTCGCTTTTTTCTGTTTTTTCTAACTCAACCGGATTCTCGTTCCTTTGATTATTCATTATTTCGGCTGGTTTGGTCCCTCTTTCTTTGAAACATGAATCAGAAACCGCCACTCGTGCTTTTCTTTCCTTGGATCAGACAGGAAGGTCCACCGTAGGCACTTTTGCCTCGTTGAAGTGTCTCTCCAGGCTTGCTGGTGGTTGCTGCTTGCTGTGCTGAATAAGCTAGAATGGAGAGGGTCTGAGATTAGGGAATGGGAGGGGAGCACATGTCTCTACAGCCGATACTGCTATGTGTAATTAGAACAAATACTCACTTTTGAAGTCATTGTTCTTTACAGTTCTTCAGCTGTGAAGCCCTTTAAGATCACAAAGCCATTTCACTGCTAATCCTAGTCCAGGGGAACAAAAGGAAGTGTCTGCACTCGCTGGAATAGCTGGGCCCGGTTTTGTCCATGGGTAAAAAGGCTCTCCTTACTGTCTAACCTTTTGCTTTGATGCAAAGCAAGTGTCGGAACATGTATAAGCGACCTTTTAGAAGTCAGGAAAAGGATGTATAGAAAACTCATTGCTGGGCGAGGTGTATGAGGATGGACATGTTTTTCTTAAAAGTATCAAATGTCATGTTTGATCTAGGTAAGTTTTCTTCCTCATTGAAATAGATAAACAAGCAGAATGATTTGTTATTTGGTGTAACAAAGTCACACATGTGTGAGAAACCGGAATTTGACTTGTAGAAACTCTAATCCCTATTGCACTGGATGTCTTGATTTTTACGGGTAGCCGGTAGTGATGGACTTCCAGAGAGGATGGAGTACCAGGCCATTCTTCTGTCAAAGCAGGGTAATTCTGTAAAGCAAATGACATTATTTGGGGGCCTTTGAAAGGAACTTTTTGTGGGCAGCTGGTTCTTTTGGTCCTGGTTATTCTTCTTTCCACTGCTCTCTGGCACACTGAACTTAATGCCAGTGTCAAGATGCCAGGGAAGGACTGTGGTTTACAGAAAGTGCTTTGAAAAGTGCAGTGAAATCACTGTGCATGGAGTTTTAGAAAGGCAGTCTTTAGCCCCTTGGGAGTAATAAATACCATTTTATTTGTAGTGAAGGCGGTAGAAAGGTGGGACTTCTTGAAAATAAGTTCATAAAGTGAAATTCAGAGATACCTGATTTTCAGAGAGGGAAGGAGTGAACTGCCCTGAGCTCCAGTTTTCAAAGGCTCTGGACACGCGGAGAGCCAGCAGTGCCCTGGAACCGAGGTCTTTCTGAAGACACCTGGGGACTCCTGAGGCTCTGAGACGGCTTGCTCTTCAGCTGCTGTCTCCTCAGTGTTGTATCTTTACACGTGGCCAGGATCACTTTGGAAATTTATATCCGACTATTTTTTGTTTAAATTTTGACTTGCTAAAGTTTCTGTGTTGAATTTTTGAGTGCCCACAAAATCTTGTTTCATCTACTGAAATGGCAAAAATTTTGAAGTAAAGATATTGCCTTGATGTCTCAGAGTGCCTGAGAATCAACTGGAAATTTCTGAACAAGAATCTTGTATTTAGGTAAAGAGTTTGGGCCTGAGTTTGCTGCTGTGGGTGCTCTGTAGCAAGGGGTCATTTCAGGTGACTGTAGAAGTGGGCAGATTACTCAGTGATTACTTCTCCCTTACAAAGACAATGTGGGGGGTAAGGCAGTATCAGTCCAGTCGCTATTACTGGGAGGTAGGTATATGAACTCCGGGTCTTATTGATTAAAAGGTCAAAAGAGATTTTAGAGTTGACCTTAATTAGGAGTCTAACATGATTTTTCACTCTAAAAATAGTATATGTTTGGACTTGTTTTTACTGCATTTTTTTTTTTTAGTTCTTGATCATCTTGGTAAATGCAATTCATAAACTGTGGGTTTAAAACTCCCAAGTTAAAAACAAAACAAAACAAAAACAACAGTTACTTAAAATAGTTTCCATATGAGTATTGTGATTAACTGTAAAGACGTTTACTTTCAACTTTTCAGATAGACAGTCTCTAAAAACTTGACTAGAACTTACTGTACTTGTTCTTGGGTCAGAAATGATGTCCTGGAAAAAATTGTGAATGGTGGGGAAGGGGAGGGAGATGTGTACGTAGTAAGGGTGACATCTCAATCAATACCTCCCCCCTCCCCACTCCCCCTCTTTCTTTTTCTCTCCCTCTTCCCCTTCCCCCGCTCTTTGTAAATGACAGGATATATGTATGCATGCGTGTGATGATCTGTAATTTATGGCAAATAGGCAAGGCTTTATGATGTTCAGCGTACTCACTCCCTGACTCCAGTTACTCCATGGGCTCCAGCTAACTAATTATTCCCACGAATTCAAGTACCGTGACTGTTTGTGCATCTGTTAACCCTCCCCTCCAGTTCAAGTTTCACATACCCTTCAACAAGTGATGCATATTGCGCTGTGCCCTTCCAGAGCCTGTGAAACGCCAGGCGAGCAGCGTGAAAAGCGCCAGTTCTGGCCACCACTTTTCTAGGCTTCCTTCTAATGTTCAACTTTAAACGCAGTGAACTTTAAAATGAGCAGAGGCAGGCTGCATTTAAGTTGTCAGAAAAAAACATACGTGCTTTGGCAGGGACCCTCAGTCATTTTTTTAATGTAAAAGCAGCAGGACGTGGTGCATGAAAACAGCGAGTATGATGGCGAGTGAGTGTCTTCATCTCCAGTTGCTCGGTTGCTGTGGAGACCACCCTGCGTGATTTCTCATGTAGCCTTCCAGAAACTTCATGCACACCCATGTGTGTATGTAAAATCACACGACCATTTTAGCTGGTAACTTTTCCGGGGGGAGGCGCGTCTTAACAGATGCGAGTACAAATTAGATCATTGTACAATTATCATCACTTGTACAAAAGCCAGGAAAATCAGCGTGGACTGCTAACACAGCTGTGTCTTGAGCAGAATGTGCAGTGTTCCAGGCTGCAGGGGAGGGGACTCGGATAAAATGAGTTAAAGTTGCTGCGGGAACCAGAACTACATTTTCTGCTTGTCGTGGAGAGAAATCCCAACCAGCACCCTTTTCTAAAAAGAAGTCTTTTTTAAAAAATATATTTTGCCTTCAACTTCTGGATCTTCTCTTCTTCTGTATGGATTATCCAGTTGTGGTTTGTGTGGCTTTTATGTTTTATAATAAGTCATAATAGGTTTCATCAGTGTCAGGGGTAGTTGACAGTAAGACTGTAGCTGAGGGTTTGCCTTTTATTAAACAGCCTTTTTAATTAACTTGATAGTCCCTGCAGAGGGAAACTTGGCAGGCTGGGTCTTTATCTTGGGGGAAGGTAGCTTTCTCTCTTTCTAAAAACAATTAGATTAAGGGAGTGCTTATAAAACCAACTCAATCAGAGTTTATGGAACTCCTAAAATTTACACCAAGACCAGATTTATTTCCAGGCTCCTCATAAGCGTTAGGAGGAAATCGTGATTAGATGATGCTCTTTTAGCTCTATCTAAATATCCTTTTTGTGTGTGTAACTTAGAACAATTGAGACATAAGGATATTAAAAGTTTATTCTGTTTGGTCCTCTGAGTGTATATTTAGCATGAAACAAACAGCAATTTTCTTTCCCCAGGAAAATCTTTGCAAGGTAGGCTCTGACTGTGTCAGGGAAAACAGTTCACTCTGGTGACTTCACTGTGGTATTTGTGCACCCCGGGGGGACACTGTTTTAGTTTGTCTCACAAAGGCCTGATTTACACTTGGCAGGTTTCAACTTGAGAGGCTGAGGAGCTCTTCTTAATGGCCAGGGGTTGTTGAACACAGTTTTATAAAGCTCTTGTTTTCCGGTTCTGCCATTCACTGCTTTTTCTGCAAATGCCTCCTCCGTGTTTCTAAAATACTCAGCAAAACAATGTACACGTTAGGAGAGAAGTTGGAACGACAGTGTAAGGCACCCTCTCCCTCCCAGTAGTTTTGTCATTGGCCACATTTGTGGGAGGGATAGTGTTTGACTATTTCAGTTCTAAATCCTTTTAGGAAGTAGGATGTGCCTTCTGCTGTGCGCCCCTGCGCGCTGTGTATACATTCTCATGTTACTGCCAAAGATTCTGCAAACATTTTTTAAATGCCCACTAAGTACACAGCACAGCACCCCACGGAAAGGTGTAGGGGATCGAAGGCCTCTCCTTCGGAAGTTTATACTCTGTTAGGTGGAATCTTTGTACTCAGTTGTAATGCCATTACAATAATAAATCAGGAGTGCCTCTGCAATATTTCAGTTTATAAAAACCTCCAGGGTCTCACTGATTAGATTTTCACAACTCAGTGCAGGCACAGATGAGGCCCCTGAAGTAGTTAGTGGTTTGCCAAAAGTCACCTTAGGGGTGGATTTTAACTCCCTGCAGGGGTGTCCAACCCATGGCTCTCAGGCTACATGTGGCCCAGGATGGCTGTGAATGCAGCTCAACACAAAGTTGGAAATTAACTTAAAACCTTTTTTTTCCCTTGCTCATCAGTTTTTGTTAGTGTTTGTGTATTTAATGTGTGGCCCAAGACAACTCTTCTTCCAGTGTGGCCCAGAGATACCAGAAGGTTGGACACTGCTGGAAAAGGCACTAGCCCCTGAAACTCTTAGCTTCTCTAACACATCTCTCAAAAGAATGAGTTTATTCGAGGGCAACTTGAAAGTACAAGTTCATGTGCACACTGATTTAGAGATACCAGGCTCCCTTGGTTTTTCTCCTAGTACCTCTCTGGTTCTTTTCACTTGTTTCTGGAAGCCTTTTTTTTTTTTTTTCCTATGCTGCTTACCGCCCCTGTTCATCCCA